TTTATTTTGAAGGAGCCAACAACAGGAATAGCTTCTCCATATCCCGGTGACTTTACTGTGGACGTAGTTTCCGCCTTGTAGCTAGCTGGTTAGCTCCCGATTAGCATGTTGACGTCACTGCTATGCAGTCACATACAATCACACAGTTAAACTTTACAACTCAGACTAAAATAAAACAACATCTCTGTCTCTTAGAGGAGATTTATTTTGAAGCTGTCTGTGTTCCGCCATTAAACAGTCTGTGCCAGTGGAAAAGCTCGTTAGCACTGCTGCTAGCTCGGCTAACCCTGCCGCTCATGGATGCTGCTGGAGGTTCGTATTNACATCATTAAATGTTAAGGGTGCAAACTCAGCTGTTAAAAGAAGATTTCAGTGTATTCGTATTGTATTAGTAAGCCTTCAGCAAATGCAACTTAAACACAAAACTGAGATTCAGGACATGCTTCAACAGGATTGCCATTTTAAAAAGAAAACCTCAGTATTTTCCATCCATCTTCTTCCGCTTATCCGGAGTCGGGTCGCGGAGGCAGCAGCCTGAGCAGAGCCGCCCAGACTTCCTGATCCACACACATCCTCCAGCTCTTCTGGGGGGACCCCCAGGTGTTCCCAGGCCAGTTGAGAGACATAATCTGTCCAACATGTCCTGGGTCTTCCCCGAGGCCTCCTCCCGGTGGGACGCGCCCAGAACACCTCCCCAGGGAGGCGTCCAGGAGGCATCTGAAAAAGATGCCCGAGCCACCTCAGCTCAGTATTTTATAATCTTTTAAGGGCAACACAGACACCTAATTATGAAGGCCTTCAGAGATGCTGGGAGAGGGATATAGGTGAGGAGATACAGGAGGAAACATGGAGGGAAATAATTGTTTCATGGTTCAAGGGAAATTCCGACACGTCTGATTCATACAAAATAGTAAATAGGATTTATTGGACTCTAAGTAAAATGGCAAGACTGGGACTTAGAAACTCTGACCTATGCTGGAGATGCGATACGACCCGTGGCACTCTCTTACACATGTTGTACTTGTGCCCTAGGATAGATGCGCAATGGTCTGAGATTGTTTCCTTTACTACTTAAGTCATGTCCCCTGCATTGATTGGGGACCTACGCTCTGCATATTGGGCATAACACCGAAGGGATGTCGGCTGAATACACACCAAATTTCATGGTGCAGGACAGCACTGAGGCACTGGAAAACCACAGGGGAAGTCTCAGGAAAGGAATGGTTTGATGAAATGGATAAAATCTCCTCCTATGAAAGACTAAGTTATTAACTGATGGAGTGGGAAGAGGCTTGTGTTAAAATATGGGGCCATTTTACTGAGATTACCTGAAGTGCTAGAGTTACACCTTTACCTCACCTATGTTATATCTCTTCGGATGCTAAGTGTAGTGTGAGGTATGCTGTTTAGTATGGAGTATTGCTTAATACTGAAAATATTATTGAGAGGAGGGGTCTCCAATCATTTGAATCAGGTGTGTTGGAAGAGGGACACATCTAGATCATGCAGGACTGTGGCTCTTGAGGACCAGGATTGGACACCTCTCATTTAGAGTATGTATTTAGCATCCATATACCCACAAAGTCTATATGGACACTTGTGTATGTAAATGTATTGACAGGTTGTATACAGTTCAGTTACTACTTCATTCCTGTTTGTATTTTGTTTTTTTTTTTATTTAAGGTCCCTGTTTATTTGCAATCTGTCTCTGCCTGCTGTGTGTCTGCACTTGGGTCCAAACCTGATTTGTGACAGAGCTGAAGCCTTGGTGCCCAGAGAGAGCTGGATGAGGCCCGTTGGAGTGGTTCTGGTACCATCATGCTGAGGACAGACAGACAGACAG